GGGGGGTGTTAAAAATTAATTTTATCTCTCATTGTATTCTAATTAAAGGTCTCAACGAAAGGAGCCGTTTTCTACCAACTACTGCCCTTCTTTCTGCCCTCTTATCAAAGTACGGGGGAGGGGGAGGGGGGGGTGGAACTAGTTTTATCCTTCATGGTACTCTAATGAAAGGTCTCAACGAAAGGAATTAATTTCTACCAACCATAACCGTCCTCCTCGACCTCTTATCGTGATCGGGTATATTCCCTTATACCTCAAGAACGGATTGTGGGAAGAGGGTACTCACAAAGGGCGATTGAGACGTCTGCAAGAAATATATTCATTGGTGATGTCAAAACAAAAGCTATTTCGGTTAATAAAAATGCACTTTTTCTGCACAAGAGTTGTGTACAATTTATACTTGTTTAAAGATTGCCAGACAAAATTTCCGATATTAATTTGATCGAGGCGCGATTTCCGGAATGGCCTAAGTCGTGAATTTTGCTGAAAATATGTTGGCGGAGCTTGAGTGTAACGAAAGGTCTTATTTTATTTTGTAATACGTCGCACTAAATGTAGACCGAGTCGTCATGGGTAGGTAAGCTTTTTCAGGATTAAAGATGAAGATTGAGAGGATGTTCTACAATACTTTTTCGTTGTATACCTTGACTTTGGTTGGTTAATTCGTTATAATCAACTGCTTGCGCAAAATTAATGCTTTCTAAACGTGACAAAGCGTCTGCCACTATACGGTGTTTCTTCCGCTTATGTGATTCATACGAGTATCTGTAGAAATTTGACCAATATATGGCAACTGACGAGCTTGACGGGGTGAAGCCTTGTCTATCTTTGTTGGAAAGCGAAGGTCAACGGCCTAGTCTGTAAATATCGTAAAAAGTTTATCCTCCACTAAGTGTCTGTAGTATTTGGGTGAAAGATAAATTGCTAACAGTAACAGCTCTCTATCAGAAGCGCTGTATTTTTGCTGTATCGCTGCTAACTTTTTTGAAAAGAAGCTTATTGGTTTCCATTGTTTATTCCGTCGTTGTACTACGTAGCATAGTTAAAGCATTGTGGCATTGTGGTTTTATCATTACGTTTAGGATTGCCTGGTTGTCTGTCGCAGTGGATACGAAACGACAGTGAAAATTCATTAAACCTAAAAACCGTCTCAAGTCTTTAATGGATGCAATTTTTTTTATAATCTAACATTCAGTCCTATGATGTATCAAATCCGTTACTAATATCCGGAATCCGTTACGTAACTTTAACAAAAGCAATTTTTAGCTTCCTAGCATGTGCTAGGTAGCTATTGCGATAGCCGTTTTTTGAACATTTCAAAATTCCATCAAATGTCGACGTTTTAGACCATTTTAAGCAACTTTTAAAGAATAAAATTTTTTCCGTCTGTATGTACGTACGTACGTACGTATGTACGTACGTACGTATGTACAGTCGTGGCCAGAAGTAATGTCCTCCCTTAGAAACTGCAACTGTAGAAAAAGTACCAATGTGTCAGTTTCTCCGTGATTTAGTTCAATTTCATTTCAATCTTAGGCATTTTCCTCATGTTGAAAAGAAGCTCAAATCTCACAGGAGATCCGGTATATTAATTATGTGCTACACTTGAGATAATCGAGGGACATTACTTCTGAC